TACATTTAATAGCTACAGTAAATTAATACGTAAAATGTGACTGTTCCTTTAATATATAAACCGGAGTGTTAGTTTACATATTTTACATTCCTTGTCCAGAAGCTTCAGTTCCCGGACGTTTCGAGTGGGATCTAATTTCATCCTAATTATAAGAAGAAAAAAAAACAAACCCACAAAAATATTGAATTGAATTATAATTATAACAATAATCCCCCAAATAAAAAAAAAAAGTGCCAAAATCACATCGTTGGCATCCTCGTTTGTTTCGCGGGCGCTGATTGGTCCAGTGTGGAACCTCTCGACCAATGGGAATCGAGCTTGGATCATCCGCCACGCGCAGCTGTGCAAAACAAACAAGAGTCCGAGTCGAGGTAGTGAGTGACCTGTTGATTTCCGTCTTTTTCCCTTCTTCCCGAGCCCGCACTCGCTGACGCCCGACCTGCCATCGGAAATACGGGGAGAGAGAGTGGCTGCAACACGTGCGCCGAGGGAGAGACAAGGAACCTGGAGATAAAAGAGAAAAAATCGCCGAAGAGTGCGAGGCGACGGCGACCGTCAGCTGGAGGACAAGGTCTTCCTCTTCCTTCAAGTCAGCAAAAAGTCGAGCAAAATTTTCTGGTTCGAGCCCAAGGCGGAAGGCCACGATGACCAGCTACATCAAGGGGATCTACAGCTACGTCAGACCGGTAATTATAAAGGGCGTGATTGCGAATCTCAAAGTGTGATCGCTAGAAAAGGGAATTTAATGGGGTTTAAATGGAGGACGCAAATGGGGCGAGGGAAGGTTTATACATCACGTTTTTCGCATCTGAGAGAGTGACAGCCTGTCATATCTTCCTGTCCGGGTGGGAACGTAGTGGGTATTTACTATCAGAGTGTATGAGTGTGATAAAAGTACTGAATGGCGTGCTAATTATGATGTCTGGTCGGGAATTTTCAATTGGTGGTTGTCGTTGGGAAGCCATATTTATTGTTGAGTTTGCTGTCCAGCTGTGCAGGCTTGCAAAAATATTCTCTAGGAGGATAGTTTGACTGGGAGTTTATATTATATAGCTTTTACTTTCTAAAATATTTTCTGGAATCTTAGGACCCAAATATGCTAATTTTCACTTTGCAGGAGGTATATTGGTATTGACTATGCAACTGATCTATGAATTTGATGTCTGTATTTTATATCAGGATTTCTAAGTTGAATGAAATTAGTCTTTGGGGTTTAGAAGGGTCATATCTTGTTCTTGAGATTATGAAAGCATGAATGGTTATATTTCCCAAGGCAGTCTCCAGCTGTATTCTGAATTCTATTGAAGTCATGCTCATTATGTTCTTGACAATTTGTTGCATGAAATTGAATATTTTTCCCTTTTCTTGGATCAAAAATACACACTTCTGTATCTAGAAGAGGAAGATGTATTATTTAGAATAATGCATATTATTTAGAGGTGGCGAAGGCATGGCTTCATTGTGAGTGTGGTATTGTGAGGCAGATTTAGAAAGAGAGGGAGTATTACTGTTAATGAGGTTGTGAAGTGGAACTGACCTTGTGTGGAGTGATAGTATTAAACTGACCTTCATTGAAAAGGTCATGGGTTCAGGATTTGAAAGTGAGCTTTATGGTCCTTTTTTAATGGCTTAGGTTGGGATTTAATTCTCTTCTATAGGCCTATGTAATGTGCTGGTATAACTGTTGATTGTGATAGTAAAGGATATTTGGGATGTGATGTCATTAAATGAAGAATGAGATCAAACTTTGGTTGAATATCCAGACTCACAAGCATGTATAATTTAGGCTATATATTTCATCATTATAACAAGTTCCTTATACAGATTTTCAATTCCTGAAGTATTCATTATGCTGACTTCCTGGTGGCTGGGAAAAGGAGGAAATATGGGGTTCTCTTTCTCTTCCAGTGTTTATGAAACATGAGGAATCCATTGAGCACATGTGTGGTGCAAGTGTTGGACCAAAACATTTGCTCATTTGTTACACACTGAACTGAATTAGACAGCTGTGAGGGTCCACTGTGGACACTTGCTTCGGAGTGTCTAATGTAAATTAATACTTTATTTAAATTGAGGTGTCCACCAAGCTGGCCACTGTGGACACTTGCTTCGGAGTGTCTAATGTAAATTGATACTTTATTTAAATTGAGGTGTCCACCAAAACAAGATGGAAATTGTGCTACATTAGTTGCTCATTTGTGTGAGTGTTTTTAGCATGAGGTAGTTTGACCTGTGAAATAGGATTATTATTTTAGGTTTACAGTGTGGTTATGTATTTAAAATGTTTTGGTGAAAATGACAAAGTTTGTCATATTTTGTTTTTAGGCATTGCTTCAGTTGTTTTATTTGACGGAGGCATTGGATAGTTCCATTACTATTCCTTATACATAACAGTCAAGGTGCATTTATTTTGTTAATTATATTAGCTCCAGCTACTATTTTCATAACTGAATAACAGTAAGTAGAGCAAAAGAAGATAACATAATTTTAGATAAAAAATATGTATATGAAAATGAAAAGTTTGAGTTACATGCAGTAGTGAAGAGGATGTAATTTCAAAATATTGACTAAACATGTTTTATAGTGAAAAGGTTTCTTCTCATTCATACCTTTTTCAACATTTGTCATGCTGAAATTTGTTCTGATAAGACATGACAAGAACAAGTGTGCTTGCTCACCTCTGTTTAAGTTTTTGATTTCTTCAAGAAATATTTTATCAAGAAATTTTAATGGATGTTATACATAGGTTGTCTCGACCAAAATTATATATTTATTATTTTTTAGAATACTGTCTGGTGAGGTGAATGTGTGCAAAGTGTATAATAATGATAAAAATGTATCTTGCACAAAGACCTTTGGTAAATGGAAATGGAAAAGTTGAATTAATTTTGTTTTGATTCAAACTAGACCTCCTTAGATGGTGTTGAAAAGGGGTCTAATTGGCTTCAAAATATAGTAGATGCATGATACCATTTTGTGTTCTTGTTGTGGTGGTGTTTCATCCAGCAGCAATATTGTCGCATGGTTATAGTGTATGCAAGATGGTAGCCTTTTGTGTTTTTCCAGGGTAGTGAAACTGCAGCGCCAGCTACGTCCAGCCCTGCCACAAGCCCTGCCACAAGCCCCACGCAAAGTCCGCCCCAAACACCCACGGAGGCCAAGCCGGAGCAGCAGCCAGGCTATCTGAAATGGGCTGTGTCTGGGGTGGCTTCAGGCATCTATAACGTAGGTGAGTATGAGCAGGGATTAGCAGCTCTGTCATCCCTCTTCTTCCTTGTCCCCTTCTTCCTTCCTTCTTCCTCTCTCCTCTTCTCTTTTCAAATTCAAGTAGGCTTGCTTCTTATTATTTCTCTCATAGATCCATCCGTATTTCTAGCCTTTCCTCATTTCCTCCCGCAGGCTCCAACACCCTGGGTGCAGGCGTCACGAGTGTGAAGTGGGTGGCTGGCACGACCTACAACGTGGGGGCAGGCGTGGTCGGGACAGCTGGCACTGTTGTAGGAACGGTAGCGGGCACGGCAGGCACTGTGGCCAGTTCGGTGGGCTCAGGAGCTTCCGCAATCGTCTCCAAGGTCGCCACAAAGAAAAAGGAACATTCAGACTAAGGGATGGTATAATGGTATAATTTTTTATTTTTATAGTTTTGGTCCTCTTTTTATATATAGATATATAACCACTTATTTTACCGTAGCGGTTTCGTATTGAAGTCACGTATGAGAGAACCATCCAAGTGCTTCAAAAAAATTGGCAGCTTTTTTTTTTCTCTTGCTCTCTTTTGTGTGTGTTTATGATACAGTATTGTAAATAAATGTGAAAAGAGAAAAAAAGAATGGAATTAAAATAAGAAATCAAGATAGGTGCTACTGTACAGTAAGAAAAATTGTATACTTACAGAAATTGTGAAATAGATTCCCTCTCAAAAGAGAAAAAAAGGGTGAAAAACAGATTAGCAGTATGTAGGGGATATGGTATCGTGGATTTATTGAGGAAACCTTGTAGTTTGAAATCTGTCGAAGGTTCACTTTGAAGTACTTTGTATTGGATACTAAATATAACTTTCCAGAATGAGTTTGTTGACAGTAGCAAAAACAAGCAAATAAAAACCACAAAGCAAAGTCTGGGCATTGAGGTAGGTATTCATTCTTTCAACAGTGTCCGGTATCCATGAGCAAATCAAGAGACGATTCAAATATATTATTAAAACAGAGAGCTCTCCGAGAGTTAAGAAAGTTTACACAAGCCGAATTCTTTTTCCCAGGGAAGATTTTAATGGATGGGATTTGTTTGAGCGTATGTAATCGTGGGATTATAGCTTTACATAAGAGATTAGTGGTAGGAGGATTCCTGGTTGTCGTATGATAAGTAAAGGAATTGTCTGTTTAATACCCAATGATCTTAGTGTTGTGAATAGAGATGGCAGGAAACAAAGGCAAGTTTGTTTAGGCCAAGCACCCGAGTCATAAAGAGAGTGATAGTCCTTGCTTGGATATTCTTTTTATCGTATTTTTCTCCCCAAAGACCTGCTTCAGCCATGATTAGTCAGACTCAGGATTAAAGGGAAAAGAGTTTGGTTCCCATTAAGCAAAGTGCTTCCATAGACTTGGTAACCTACTGTGTCTGTCAAAAATGTAACTTTAGGTGTTGAGACAATCGTGAGTGTTTGGCTTTGTACTACATGGTACGTAGATGTACTTTAGGCATTAAAGCAATACATTATTTTTTGGTAGACCTTTTTACCTGTTGAGAGCAGAAAGGATTTCAGGAAGTAATATCCTGGTTATTGCTTTTTATGCATTGTTGATACAGTAATTTTTGCAAGAATGACAGTGAAGTGAAGTAGTAATAGATTATTTTTGTGAATGGAGTCGTGGAGATATTCTAGATTTTAGCAAATTCAGTAGGAAAAAAAGGACAAAAAAAAACAAACAAACATTAATTTGTAAAACAGATGCAATAAATGGTAGTTGGTTTTGATGTGAGGAAAATCTTTCTAATGACTTTGATGATGGTATTTTTACATACAATTTGCAGAAAATTTCTTTATATCAGTTATTCCTATGAAACTGGACTTTGAACTTGCCAGAACCATTTGTTATGCTTAGAAAATAAATGTAATAGCTAAGTTTTTACAGGATCTTCATAGAATTATTCATGTGCATGCAGTTAGGTTTAAGGAAAGACATTGCAAGGAAAATGTTCACCATAAAAGAGTAAACTTGCAGATTTCTTGCACTGCAGACAAGAAAAATGTGAGCTCACGATGAAAATGGCTTTTGCCCTCCCTTGTAAATCTGATCTCATTTCTGATCACACTTTTGACAAGGATTTCTAGGATTATTATGATTTTTTTTATAGCCAAGTTCCTTAATAGAGCTCATTCATTTTTTCCCCCCTTTTTTCTAGTATGTAGTTCCTTGTTTTTCAATGTACAGTTCCTCATTCATCTATTTTTAGTTTGCTTCAAATATATAGTTTATATTCCTTTTCCGAGTTCAGTTTCAGTACATAGTTCCTCATATTATAAACCAGATGTATGCTGTACTCTCTTAAACTGAAGATTCTGTTCTAGGTAATATGTTTGATTATAATAATTTAGTTAATGCAAATGCTATGTTGGTGGGCAAGAGAGAGGGTTTGACTAAAACTGATTTGTATAAAGTATGATTATAAATTTTGAGAATCTCCAGGGAACAAATTACTGTGCCATACAAATGTAAGTCATTTTTTTTTTTTTTTTTACATTCTCTATCTAGTTATTTTTATACCAGTGTCATACATTTATATTGATATGTACGTGATGCATTATAGAAAAAAGAAAAAAATGAAAAAAGAAAATCTTTAATTTCAGTGCTTGTTTGATGTTCATACCACCATTAGTAAACGTCTTGATGGTAAAGTCAAGAATTTTGATTGTAATGAGTCCATTTTGGTGTTTAGATGAAGTCAATTTTAGATTTAAGAGTGAAGATATACTTGGTATATTAAGCCAGGGTGTCATTAAATTACATGAAATTATATGATGGTTGATTTGACATTATTGGTCCAGAGATTTACCATATGTGATATTATTAATGTCTTAGTAAGGTGCTTTGGTTGCAGTACCCTTAGTACAAACAATCTCTAATCAGCTCTAGTGCAATATTTTAATAAAACCGATATCTACTGGAAATAGATTTTTATATGACAATAGTTTAGGTGTCAATGAGGAGAAGTTCAAAAATGGTAAACATTAACAAAAGGGTAAAGTTGTTTAAATGTCTCTTGGTTAATTGAAGTGAAATGATTGATTAGATCTTAAAATTGGGTTATTAGTTTCTTGTGTACATGGCGAATTAATGGTGATACTGGACACTTCTCTGATACGAGAACTGCAACTCTGGTTTTCCTCCAAGAAATGCAGTATTAGTGTGTTATAAGAGGCCAGTGAAATTATGATAAATACTATAAAAGATGAGGACCACTTGATAAAACCGTTTGATAAAGTATTTAGTTGCGGCTCAGGTTTACTTCTTGATAGTATGGTGAGCACAGTAGAGTCCATTCATAAAGCATCAGGAAATGGAGGGAGTGCTTAGGGAATTAAAGTTATTCAGGAGCTAAGTATTATGTGAGGATACTTTGTACATGCAGTTTTAAAGCCTATTTTGTGAATCAAAATGTCATTCTAGTGAATGTATGGAGATAGAGTTGGGAAGTACTGTTGGTACTGTTAGGACCTGTTCACACCTGTTCAAACAATTGAGCACTTGCTTGAAACTCGGTGTTAGGGCAAAATTGACACCCAAACCAAGGAAGGGTACAAGTGGTTGAGATAAGGCTCTCTGCCTTGTAGTTTGAGCATTTGCTGCCCAGTATGGACAGACAACCCTGCCAGACACCAGCACTCCTGTGTGTATGACACAAAGTCTGCTTGACATTCAGTTGTGTGAACAGAGCCTAAACTTTTTAAAGTTTCCTCCACTTTGAAAATTATATACTTAAGAGTATCAGTTACTGCAGCCACTAGGAAAAAGGCTCCAATTTCATGGTGTTTCTTGAAAAACAATTGTGCCATTGTAAAGTATTGCCAGTACTTTTTTTTTTTTTTTACAATACTTGTGTTGCCATTATTTTAGGAATTGGTATAACTGGAGGTACCACTAGTAGATTTGGAGTTATTTTCCTCGGGGTTGCGGTGATTGACTTTTTTGTGTGTAATCATGTGGAAGATAATTTCCAAGTCTAAAAGCAATGGTACTTTTTGTCTCTGTTTACCAGTGTAATAGAATAGGATTTTTGCATTGCATATGGTAAGGAGTAAGGTTACAGGTGAACATTCATGCCCTAGAATAAGCATAGACCGTATTAAGGAAATGATAGTTAAATAGTAATTAAGATTGTTGCTCATGATAGTTTATATATATTCTGATAAATAAAAAAAAGATGTCAAGTCCATAAATGTGAGGCAGAAAAGATTTTTTATTTTCCTACACATTCTTAAAGTCAGATATGTAGACATTAAGACCCAGTGTACGTGAAGGTACACTGTGGGCACAGGCAGTGGTGATATCATAAGTGGAGACTGTGACAAATTATTAAAAAGCCTGTGGCTGTTGTTGAGGTAAAATGCCACACCTATACCCAGTATTCTCTGTGGATGCATTGCCACACCTACTTGGGAATTGCTTGTTCTGGAAGCACACATTGCTTCTGATATCATAATATAATTGTGCTCATATGGAGGCTACTATTGATGTGGATAAGGTCCAAGTTACAATATTGGAAAGAAAATAAGTTTTTCTTCACTACTGCATGAATAATAAAAGCTTAAGATGACTGCTGATAATTGAGGGTACACAATTTGGACCTCATAAAAAAAACAATTCTCATTTCTGTGTATTTCCATGAGTTGCCTGAATGTGTCACAAGTGGTATGTGTCCTAAAAAAATTATAAAATAGTTCCACAAAATCCCAAGAGGAAGTGCCAAGTGTGGAGAAATAAAATTGATGAAATTATCTTACAGCTCTCAAAGCTCTTCTGTATTATTTTCAGTAATGTGTAAACTAAAGTAGTTTCTGTAGATACCCCCCCCCCAAAAAAAAAAAAAAAAAAAATAATAATAATAAAATAAAATAAATATTTAGCTTCAGATTTTTTCATATTTGACTAAAGAAATGGGAGTAATACCTTTAAGGTTATATAATTATTGCCTTTCCAGTGGTACAACCAGCAAATTGGATATGGGCAAAATGGTCTTGGGCATTATGAAAATAGTAATAACCATAAAAATAACAAGATCATAAATATTTATCTGACAATCTAGGAAATGGTGAGGTAAGACTAATAATTGAGCACTTATGGAGCTGTAAACAACAGATTCAACATCCACAACCATTGGGTTAATCCCCTGGTGTCAGGCTCTCTTTTCTGTAACTGCCCTCTGTTGCTGTTGTAGAAGGTTTGGTGTGGAGCATAAAGTGTACTGTTGTTCTTTCAAGCCATTTTGCTCTCTCATCTTCTCCCAAGAGGTTCCCCCCAATCCCTTGCCCGTTGTTGTCGTAGGGGGGCTTAGGAGGCGGAGACTGGGACCCAATGATGGGGAACTCCCCAACCTTGGGACTCAGCCCTGAACTCAACTAACTTTGCATGGTCTTTTTTCCCTCCCTACTTTTCGTTTCTGCCCCTTCACCAAACCCTTCTACTATCCACCTCCTAAGGTGTGAGAGCCGTGCTGAAAGGATGAAAGGCTGACTTTGTGCCAGTCCTGAACGGCCTGAGGGAGCCATGGGCACGGTATTCCCTTGCTTAGGCCTAGCCCTTACCCCTCAAGGGGACCCTGAGGGGTGGACTGTTTCTCTCCCCAACATACTCCTGGCTTACTATGGCCAATAATGAAAACGTAACCCCACTATTAGGGGCAATGAGGCTTGCCCCTTCATCAAATAGCCCCAACAATTCAAATCCTCCCGATTCCCTAACCCCAGGCTCTCCTTTGACCACGGCTCCGAACACTGCAACAACTACTCCCTACTCAATGCCTACTAGTACAATAGTCAACACTCAACCCCCTAGAGACATTCCTACTCTCCCATCATGCTCAACACCTCTGCCTCCACAACCTTCTACATCAACTACCCCATCCTCCCTTATTAATACCTTACAGCCTTATTGCCCACCTCTCCATAACACTACTCCCTCTTCGACACGCCCCCCGCCCTTCTACCACCCCCATCTCTACAACAATCTTAGATACCCTATTTAGCCCAGCCAAATGGGACCGATTTTTTGTGATCCCTCCCATAGCTCCCCTACTCTGACAACACCCTTCTCTTCCAGCAATGTCTCCAAAAACAAGTAGGCAAAGTCTCTTTCCGTAGCCAACTGACCGCTCCCGTCTCGTCACAGTAACATCCGAAAACCAAGCTATAGCATTAGCAAAACTAACTGATCTATATGGTAACCCTATCCTTGCAGAACCCCACCCAACCCTCAATACTTTCACCGGAACTGTATCTATCTCCCCAGCAAACTACCCAATCTATGACAAAGATTGGTCATATTGTGGAGAAGACTTACTCGCCTGTCTCACAGACTATGATGCGACATCAGCACAATGCTACTCCATTCCTCCCAGAGGTCATCGTAAGAAACCCACTAAAATCACCAAAATTACTTTCCGTAGACATGACCTTCCCTGTACGACCACACCAACCTCCTCCTCGTCAGAGCCAAAATTGTTGGCGTTTAGGACACCCAGCCAAACATTGCTGTTCTACAGCCAGATGCCCACTGTGTGCCCAACCTAGCCATACTTGAACAAACTGTTCTGCGCAAACACGCACATGTGCCAACTGTGGTGGCCCTCATAATGTATTTTATAGGTGCTGCCCCACCTACAAATTTGAGTCTGAGGTAGCAACTCTCAGATTCAAACTTGGACTCACACATGTGAAGCCAGACAAGAAGCACGACGACGAGGTTTTTCTCTTGATACCTACTCCAGTAATATTGCTCATTCTACCACTCCCAAGCTCCTACATCCTCTCCTAAACCTACCCCCACTCCATCTAACTCCCCCTCTTCTACCTCCTACCTTCCCCAGTCAATCTCTTTTGCCATCCTAAACCCCAACACCTTCCCCTCTCCCTCTCCGCACTACCCACAACAGACAAAACAAACGTTCCACCCCCTCTTCCCCTACCACACAAGCACCTCAACCTTCCTTTGGCCCTACTCTTGAGACACCAGTCTTCTCTTCCCCCCCCCACAAGAAATCCTTTATCCCACAAAACTCCCCAACCAACTCCATTGAAGGAACTCTTGAAAATATTCAAGACTTCTTAATGAAAACTGACCCCCATCAACCTTCAAATCCTACAACTCCTGCTCCCTCCACACACCAAGTGACTGCCGATATCCATCCTCCTCCTAACGATATCCCCCCGACACCCTATCCTCCTACCCCCTCCCAACACAGCCCATCCCCCCCAACTCCATTAACCCTCCCACCATCCCCTCTATCCCTTCCACTCCCTCCTGGATACACACGTGAATCCCTTATATCACAAGCATCCCCTTCCACACCCGTCTAACACACCCCTATCCGATGTCACAATCGGATCCACCCCTATGCTCCTTATGTAATGTTCCTCTTTCAGTCTCACACATTCTATTATCATGCACACGTTTTAGCTCTGCTCCATAGCTTTCATAACAAACTGTGGTCTGCAGGATATGACTATATGCACAGCGATGTGCTAAAAACATGTGGAGGGGGAAGTTCTGCTACGTGTAATAGACTCCCTCACCCAGTGGCATTATAACCAGAGTTTATAATGCCAATATATTTTTGGGTTAAATGTGGATCTGGATGGTAAAGTCCTATCTGTAGTGTCTTAAATTTTTAATTACTATGATGGGAATATTTAAGAGTGCTCATCTCTTACCATTATTTTTCTCTCTCAACCCTTTGATGGTCACAAACAACACTGTATCATGACTGACCCCATGCTGTTGGTTTATAAGAGGGAGCTCATGTTTCTCCATTAGTAGCAGCAGCATTTGTTTGGTGCTATTAAATACAGACACAAAGTGAAGGAAAACCTTCACTTTTCTATAACTTTTGTTTATAAAATATAACTTCAAGGTTTTAGGTGCCTATGTTGTACCAAACAAGGCAAGCACAAATAGGGGAAAGTACCAGTGCATGACAACCCACATTACTGGCCATTAGCCATTTGCTAGTACTGCAGTTAATGGGTTAAGTTTTAAATTCAATGGAGTTCTTAGCTTGGGCATCAAGCATATTTTTTTTCTATAATTACAAAAATTAACTTTAGTTTGATATGCATTCAAGGTAAAACAAACCACTGTAAGAAATAGGTAAATATCTGTATTAAACAAATATTATATAAACATTGGCAGTTCAGGTACAAGACTTGGTTCATATAATACAATTTATACCTTGGGTTGATTCCATAACCACACTACATACCATAATAAATTAATAAAAACAGGAAATAAAAGATTACACCGTAAAACCTCTTCTCCAATTTTTTTTTTAAACACTCAGTAAATATTTTTTCTTGGTTATGTTTTAAGTGATACTTTACTGAATTTTTATAAATTTCAATGTTCTTTCCGCTTAAGAAAAGCAACAACTGTATTACATTCTAGCTGTTTATAAACCTGACATGGAATGAAACAAAAAATGCATCATTAACTTTCTTTTTTTTTGTACTGGGAAGGAAACTTTAGCATATACTTTACCAAAAGAAAATTAAATACTCTGAAACTTTATATATAAATAAGTATTGGACTAACATTGAAATATATCCAAAATAAATGTAGATAAACTATTAATATGAATAAACTTTGGAAGGATATCTTTACACTGAAAAAAGTGAAGAAATATAGCATACAATGAAAATATAATTTTGCATGTAAATGCACACATGATTACTGCTTTTGGATAAAGCATTTTGTGTTTATTTCCTGACTGTATTTTCTTTTTGGGCTTCACTGAAGTCCCTGAAATATAACAACACTAAAAAAATAGAATTATAACTATTTTACTATTTTTGCTTTACAATCACAATTTGAGTATGACTTGCTGTACTGCTTAAAAGAATCAGGTAAAACGTGTATGCTGCATAAATTCTTCATTCATATGTATGTTAATCTTAGTTGCCAATATCTCAAGACAGTTTTTCTATCTATGTACAGGTATGCCTTGATCACACTATAGAGAGAAGTACAAAAGAAAACCTCAAATCTATTACTAATGACATGAACATTTATTTACTTATATGCATAGTATAGAATTTTAATACCAGATTTACAATAGAATTTTCTGTGAGGCCCCATAACACTTAAAGTATGATTTCAAGCCAGATTAATTACGCACTGAAATACCAAATAAAAATAATAATGATAATAACAATAAAAAAAAAAAATATATATAAATAAAGA